TGAATTATAATAATAACATATAGTATTTTTACTAAAATATTTTTAGTAGTTAATTAGAATAAAAAATAAATATTATCATTGATAATAATATTACTAGTCAATTAGATATATTATTAAATTATAATAATAACAGATGATATTTTTAAGTTATTTTAAAAACAAAATGAAGAATCATATCTTAGAAAGAATGAATTTGTTTTCTTGAAAATGCAATATAATTTTATCGCCTGCCTTGAATTTTCTTGCTTCTGTAATAGTATTCCACCCATGTCCAATAAGAACATAACTATATGCTCTTTTTTTTATTGTCATAGCAAATTTTGGTATAGTAGTCAGGACCCTTTCGATATGCACTTTTGGTAAATTTAAACGACTGTTAGAACTGATATCAGACTCTGTTAGAACTTTCATTATTATTCTATTTGGCTCCATAGGCAAAATACTATTACTAAACTCTTAACAAATTAAGGAATATATGAAAACGTTTTTAGAAGATATAATGTTTGAAGACTAGAGCTCTAAGTATATGTTTATATATAGTTCTTGGATAAAGCAATGTCTTTTGTCTTCTTCTTTTGTTTTAATAATTTTAAAATTTTCCAGAAAAGAAAATCTAATGAAATTAATTATATGGATATCTTTCTAATTTTGTGTAAAAACACAGGAATAGATTTTCTAAATTTTGACACTTTTTTCAATTGTGTAGATTAAATAATTTTAATTTATTAAGAAAAGTGTTTTTACAACAACCTTACCTTTTTAGTTTTTCTTAAAAAGTTATACCATAATATATAATAAAAATCTATAATAGTATTAAGAACAGTAAATTCATTTAAATACTATCAGATTCTGTTATATCAAAAAAACTAAAAATATTACACTTGGCAGCTTATGATTAAAAAAATTTATAGTGTTTTCTGGGTATTATTATTTTTTTTGGTCGAAGTTAATTATTTACTTTTGCCTATCACTCTTATTATTTAGTTTTTACTTTTTTGAAGTCTGTAAGATAAACAAGAAATTAGACTATTGAGGTATGCATAGAGGTTTTCTTTTTCTTACATGGAATTCATAACTGAAAATTATATGTCGACTAGAAATGTTAAAAAGGGCAAAAAATTTAGGGTCGGTCCTGGTCCGTCAAAATATATAAAAGCTCTGACCCTAATTATATAACTAAACATATTTTATGGCCAATACAAGTTTTTTTAAAAAAATATTTAGGGATGAAACATGGTTGACCCTATTAATATGAGTATATGACATTCGAATATATAACATTCATGAAATCACATTTTTCATTGTAACTGAAAAGAGCCACATTTTCTCGTCAAAAACGCAAAATCAGATTTTTCTGTAAAACTGCAAAATCATGTTTTTCCCCCAAAAATGCAAAAAAAGCATTTTCCCACCAAAACTGCAAAATCACATTTTCCTACCAAAAACACAGAACCACATTTTCCAGCCAAAATCACAAAATCATGTTTTCCCATCAAAAAAACAAAATCATATCTTTCCGCCAAAAACGAATAAAATCATATTTTCCTGCCAAAAACCAAAAAATCATGTTTCTCTGACAAAACCGCAAAATCACATTTTCTTATCAAAAAATTAAAATCACATTTTCTCGCCATAAACTAAAAAGAATATTTTCCTGCCAAAAAAGCAAAATTAGATTTTCCCGTATAAACCGCAAAATTAGATTTTCTTGTCAAAAACGTAAAATCATATTTTCTTGCCATAAACTAAATAAATATTTTTCCGCCAAAAATGCAAAATTAAGTTTGGTTACTCGGGTTTGAATCTCGTTTTGCTTATTGTTTTTTTTATTAATTATCGGTGATTGGATTTTTTTTGAGGATTTATAAATTGTGATAGATTCTAAAATCACATTAAGTTATTGCATTTTTTTTATATTATCCTAATTAAAGAGTTAGAAATAGCTAAACTGAGCTCAACCCTATTATATAAATTTTCAGGGCTAAAAAAAAAGTTAGGGTTCATTCAAGGACGATCTTTATTAAGGGCCGGATTGGGCCGATAAACCCTAGTTAATATCCCTAATGTCGACCATGATATATCGTAGTGCTTTGTGTTAATATTGATTTTTTTTTGTATGAAAAAGGGATGTTAATGTTGATGTTGTCTTGTGTCATGTTTCATGTTGATTAAAACTATATATTGCATGCCGTTGATAACGTTTTTTTTACTACGTCTCACTTAAACTTATAAGTATATCTATATATAATTATACTAATTACTAATGTTATAAATTTGTTATAAAAAAAAAACTTTGTTAGCCGGCTATCGGGCATAGAGATTTACAAATGGTTACTAGTTTAGATATATAAGTTTATTAAAAAACTTAGGTATTTATTTTAAAAAACCTCCTAAATTTTGTAGAATGAATTTAAAAACTAAATTTATATTTGTATAACATTTCTGATATTTCGAGTATCTATTCGGTTTCGGTTCTTGTTAGATTTAGATTAAATTTAGAACTGTTCAGATATTTTTTAATGTTTTGATTGGATATTTTAGATCATATTCGATTTGAATTTTTAGATTTGGGGTTTTCCCGGCATAACCATAATTAAAGTTACTAATTAACTAATGGGTGTACTCGTGGCCACTCTACACCATGAGTACCCCATCATCTTGACCGCATCTCAACCACCTCCATCGTCACCGCATAATACTAATTGGGTCACTGCTTGAGGTCTTTTAGCGCTCGAGTACCCTCACATCGCTGTATTTAATATCATCCAAGTATACTTTGGTTATACCTATTTATTTATATGATGAAACTTCTTGAGCTGATGTTTTAATATCAAAATTTGGATTGCCTAATTTTTCATTTTGGATAGTTACTTGCAGTTTCTTCTTTGTATTTGGTAGTTTGATCAATGGAACATCGATTTCAATCGGTTTCTACACCGTTATGTATCGAAGAGTTGTCCTTAACCAAGTACAAAGATAATTCATTTTGTTTTCTCCTTTTTAATATATTGAGTATTTTTTTGTTCCATTCAGGTATATACATTGATGAAGTATACATATGCAGATCTAAATACATCTCTCTCTATGGTCTGTAATAGAATTGTGGAATCTTGATTGTTTTCTTTTTGTAGACTCAAATCATGAGAGGGTATCCGCCCGAGTTTACCGTTGTTTGCTTTTAGGGAGAGTTGCATATTGACACCGTTTATGTATGTCTCCTTTCATTATAACACCTTTTATGCTACACATACCGTTTTTCATTGTTTTTCACTACTTTTCATTTTTTTCCTGACCAAATTACCCTTATAAAAATACAAACAAAAGCTATCTAATAAAAGAAAAAAATTATTTTTAAAAAAGTAGATCACGGTTTATGCTTTTTCTCTTCATTGTAGCTTCTCTTTCTCTCTCTCAAAACCAAACAATTGTTTCTCTTGTCTTACCTATCCACCATTACTTCAACAAAAATCAAACAGTGATCTTGTATTCTTTTTCTGTTTCCAATATTCGACTCACTACCACAAGAAACTTCTTCATTCACTACTTTCACCATCACATATCTCCTGTTTCAATACAAAAACAAAATAAAAGACAAATCTCTGGTTTGTGCACTATTTCTTACTTTGTTAGTCCTTTGTTTCTCAATCCGGTCAGGTTCGTGTTAAATCGATGATCTTCTAATTCTTCTTGAACTCAAGAACTCTTTTGTCGTGAGAAATTGGTTTTTATGGAACAAGAGCAAGAGCTTCTTCAATTTCTGGGTTTTTACTTAAACAACGTTGATTATCTGGGTTCATTAGAAAAGCTTTCAACTTTTTGTTGTAGATTTGTTATCGTGAATGTGATGCGATGTGGTGGATACGATATGGTGGATGCGATACGGTGGATGTGATACAGTGGATACGATACAGTGGATGCGATGTGGTGGCTGCAATGTTGGTGGTTGTGATGTGATTCGGTGCCTGAAATGTAGTGGCTGCAATGTTGTGGTTGCGATGTGATTCGGTGCCTATGACGCGGTGGCAATGGTTTAATGGTTACAATGTGGTTCAATGGTTACGATGTGGTGGATGCTATGTAGTTGATGTGAAAAATAATGATAAATATCATGAATGTCCATTATTGGTCGAACATTTGTTTGCTTGCTATCTAATGGACAATGCATGAAGAATCAATTATTATTGAGTATGAACTATGAGCAAAAGCTGAATACATAGTATATATGTACAAGTTTTAAGAAATTTAAAACCAAATAAAGAACTTGATGCACAAGTCATTTGGTATGTATAAATCAGCCTAATCAATTAGACAATGTCCACAAAATTTTGAATGATCGAATTTAGAAAAATAGCTTATTTCTTTCTCATACCACTAATACCTATCTATAAATATGCATCCATTATACTTTGTCCATCTCGGGACATGGATATGATTAAACCGGTTCTTCTCGGGAATAAAGAAGCGGAGAAACACGGCTTGAATACCTCGACGTAAACAGCTTCTCTGGAACATAACATCACTTCATTTCAGGTTCTTCTGCTTCTTTGGCTTTCGTGTTCATTTGCGTCAATCATCGAAGATAGCTCATTCACCACGTGTTGTCCACATGGATGTTATACTTTGGATGTGTTTTAATTTTTGAGTAAAGAGCTTATATCACATAGATGTTGTACATGAATGTGTTTTGTTGTTGATTAATCAATATTGGAAAGTGAAAACTCCCTAACAGTCTTATACATAGATGTTGTACATGAATGTGTTTTGTTGTTGATTAATCAATATTGGAAAGTGAAAACTCCCTAACAGTCTTATACTTTAACGTAAATTTTTTGGTTAAACTTTTGACTAAGAAGCAAATAGATAATTGTTTCAATCGTTTTCTGTGGATTTGTTAGTATAATCATTTAAAAACAAGATAGTGTAGTGAATTTAACAACAACTGAATTCAACACCTACAAATAAATAAAACAAGCATCCTAAAATCTAATACGGTGATACTGATGCGATACGGTGGATACGATATGATGGATACGATACGGTGGATACGATACGGTGGATACGATACGGTGGATGCGATACAGTAGTTACAGTTTGTGGTTATGGTGTGATTCAGTGGCTACGATGTGGTAGCAACAGTCCTTTTGTTTAAGAGATGAATCAGATCTGGAGTTTGGAAACATGTTCAAAATTAGGGAAATCGGTATCGATCTTAATCTCAAACTGCTAGTTAGTCTTGACATGTTTCGGGAGAAAAAGAAAAAAGAAACTCAGATCTATGGATTTTGTGAGAGAACAAGGCGGAGAAGGAATCAGATCTCCGATGGATAACCAATCTTCCTCCAACTAGAAAATGGTTTGTCGAGAAATGATAGAAGAAGAAGAGTAAGAAGAAAAAGAAGAAGAAGAAAGAGCGACATGGTAGAAAGTTGAGAACGATGATGAACAAGGATTTCAGAGTTTTTTTCTCTCTCTTTTATTTTGTGGGGTCAAATATCTCAAATTTATTTATGTTTTTATTTTTTTATTAGAATTAAAACATGTAAAAACTAAAAACCATGATTGATTTAATTAAAGGGTGTTTTCGCCAATTCATTCAAGAAAACGGTGCTCTAGCTGAAAAGGGTGTTCTTGTGTTATTAAGACTTGATAAACGGTGCTAGAGTGGTATTTTTCCTTGCTTTTATAGCTTCGGCGTGAGCTTTTGGACTGCGTTAGTTACATTGTTCACAGAAGGGAGTGACTTGGGTGTATGGAAGATAAAACCAAATATAGCTTTAGTGTCAATCGTTTGCTCGGTAAGAACATTACAACTTATTAGTGTAATTAATTTTTTCACAAATGAAAATGTTTTATGTTGATTGTATCTATCTTTAGGGATTGTTTGGATCTTGCATAAACAATACTATTCATACTTGGGCATTGCGGATCAAGGGGCCTTTATTCGTTGCAATGTTCAAGCCATTGTCGATTGCGATAGCTGTTGCAATGGGCGTTATATTTCTCCGCGATTCTCTCTATATCGGCAGGTGAAAAACAACTAACACTTTAAACTATTTGCACATCCATATTGATTAGTAATGGATGATTCCAAGATTTGTTTGGAACTCGCGGTTACGATAGAACCATACCTCCAAGTTATATCGTCCTACCAAAACTGCGAAAATGTTAATTTTCTCAATCTCTCATTCTCTGATCTCTTTTAACTCTTTTGTTTACGTTTTTGTGCTTGAATGTTGATCTCAGCTTGATCGGGCAACGGTAATAACAATGGGGTTTTACACGGTGATGTGGGGCAAAGCTAAGGAAGTGGCCTTGATCGAAGATGACAAAAAGGCTAACCATGAGCAGGCCAACGAAGCTGATATTGACTCTCCATTGGGTTCACAGAAGGCTCCTCTCTTGGAAAGTTACAAGAACGATGAACATGTCTAAGGATCATCAAGCATTGAAGATCGTGCTATATATATGTGTGAAATTTCATATGTGAATGTCTTTGTAATCTATTTGACAAAACAAATGTGATCTTTAATTTTAGGAATCAAATGTTTTCTAATCAATCACTTATAATTTAGGATATCTTCAAATCATGTTTTTTAACTGTTTTTTCTTAGACCTTTACAATATGATAAAATTGATAATAGGGTAGAATGAATATCATATACTTGAGTAAGGTTGATTCTTCATTTAAGAATTGTCTCAGAGTTTCATGTTTTAACAATTGACCGCTAGTCCTGAATTTTAATGCTAAACATTTTAGTCAAGTTTTGAGATTTTTCATTGCTCAATATGTAAATTACATAAGTAATTGGCTTGTGTCTAGTCCAAAGTTTAAATACATATCCACACCTTACAATTTAGAATACATTTAAATTGATATGCTATGTTTTGATAAAAAGAAAACACACACATAAACCCATCCAAAATATGTTATTAAAACAAAATATTCGTTAATCTATACTATTAAAAGGGGAGCACTTTTTGTAAGTGTTGCCAAACAAGATTAAAAATATATATATATGATGTCAATCGTGTAGCCAAACACATTTAAAGACAACAACAACAAAAAAAAAAAAAACTATCTACTATATATATGGAAATAATATTGATTTGGTTACCATAAACATTGGATTATTAAATTCAAAATTGAAGATATCTAAATATATTTAATTTTAGTTATATGTATTTTGTAATATTTTCAAAAATAATAATTTATATTTAATAAAATCTAATAAAAATGAGCATATATATTAGAAAATGAAATATGATATTTTATTAAAAATAAAAAGAACAAGAATTATGTTAGATTAGGAATAAGCGACTAATAAAATTTTACATATCGTAAAATGTGGAGAAATATACAACATAAATAATTATATCATTAAATTTTCAAAAATTATATAATCTTATAAAACAGTTACATTTTATGTAATCCCAAATCTATAGCCAAACCTTCTTAATAACATATCTATCTGATAGTTTTCTATCTTTTTAATTTTTAAATTATAAAAATTTTAGACAATCTCCTATTTGTGATTCTTAATTAATATTATAGATGAATATACATCATTTAAAACATATTTTAAATATTTTATACTTTAGTTTCTATGAATTATTTTAACAAGTTTTTAAAAAAGGAACTTCCTAAAGAAAACTCAAGTCACTTTAAATTTTACTTTGAATACACCCCCTAAATTCAATTTCAATTTTCAATAATCAAATAACAAGTATGATACATGAACATGAATTTGAATAGTTAAATTCACTTTTAACTTTCCAATTTTATTTCAAATATCAAAACATGAAATAACGGGTACATGTAATTTGATACATAAAAATGTCATCTAAACTATTCATGATAGAAAATGGGACGAAAATTTTAGCTAACGAGAATTCAAGAAGAACATATGCGGACATACTATTTACTAATGTGGATTATAGGAAATCTGTTTTTTGCGGGTCAAATTATTTTAATCTACTGAGCTGCCATCCAAGGTCTGTGAATTTTCACTGAAACAGGACCTCCGATTAGCCTGGAGGACGCGAGTCGAATGGAGATGTTGATCCAAGATCCGTTGCTATCCCGCCACCGTAGAGCCATTTTGAGGAGGAAGAAGAGACACGAGCTTGATTTTGTCAAGGAGATCCAAGCTCAATCATGAAGCAAAAATAGGATGTAGATCTAGAAACCCTCAACTATATTTTTTATAAAATGATTATAATTTATGTTATAATAGAAATTAGATTATTTATAACATTCTAAAATTTATAAAATAATAATTAGAAATAGTGTTTTTTTTGTTTTTTTAAATAAAAATAATTTGTAAAGGTACAATAAAAATATACAATCTTTAGTATTATTTTTCATATTTTAAAATTTCAAAAAATCAATTTACAAAAAAGTACGACGAATTGACACCATTTTTTAAAATAAATTTTCTATTAATCTATAGATTACTATTATTACAATCCATTCATAGAAAAATATTTTAGTTATCATAATAATATAATCTAATTTTATCAACGACTTTTGGTTTCTTGCTTCTTTGATTTTATTCCACCCAAATGTCATAATATATATTTCTTTTACACCGTTTGTCCGAATCTATTAAAATACCAACTAACATTGTACCATTTTGAAGTGGGTCACAATTCATATCCACGGTTTCATTTCAGTATCCATAATTGGATGATCAGAGTTTGGCGGAAGTGTTATTAAGTACATATGCATAAAGAATAGGGAATCTTATTAAATTATAATAACATTATTATTAAATTATATCATTAGATTAATAAATATCATTATTGATGACAAACATTAGTAGTTAAATAGATATATTATTAAATTACAATAATAACAGATAATTTTTTTATTAGAATATTTTTAGTAGTTAATTAGAATAAAAAACAAATATTATTATTGATGATAAATATTACTAGTTAATTAGATATATTATTAAATTATTTTAAAAACAAAATGAAGAATCATATCTTAGAAAGAATGAATTTGTTTTCTTGAAAATGTAATATAATTTTATCGCCTGTCTTGAATTTTCTTGCTTCTGTAATACTATTCCACGCAGGTCCATTAAGAAAATAATTATCAGAATTGTTTTTTATGGTCATCGAATAAACCTTTCCGTGGTCTTCAACTTGCACTGGAAACCCATTTGGAGGCATTGCAAAATTTGGTATAGTAGCCAGTACCCTTTTGATCTGCTTTGTTGGTAAACGCAAACAACTTTTAAAACTGAGATCAGTTTCTGTTAGAACTTTCATTATTATTTTAGTTGGATCCATAGGCAAATTGCTATTACTAAACTCTCAACAAATTAGGGAATATATGAAAACGTTTTTAGAAGATAAAATGTTTGAAGACTAGAGCTCTAAGTATATGTTTATATATAGTTCTTGGATAAAGCAATGTCCTTTGTCTTCATCTTTTGTTTTAATAATATTAAATTTTCTCAAAAAAGAAAATCTAAAAGAAATCAATTATATGGATATATTTTCTAATTCTGTGTAAAAAGAAAGGATTAGATTTTCTAAATTTTGACACTTTTTTAATTGTGTAGATTAAACTAATTTTATTTATTGAGAAAAGTGTTTTTACAACAACCTTACCTTTTTAGTTTTTGTTTAAAAAGTTATACCATAATATATAATATAATTCTATAACAATATTAAAAACAATAAATTCATTTAAGCACTATCAGATTGTGTTATATTAAAAAACTAAAAATATCACATTTGGCAGCTTATGAGTTTAAACATTTATAGTGTTTTCTGATTATTATTTAATTTTGCCTATAACTCTTATTATTTATTTTTTACTTTTTTGAAGTCTATAACATCAACAAGAAATTATACTATTGAGGTATGCATAGATGTTTTCTTTTTCTTACATGGAATTCATAACTGAAACTTATATGTCGACTAGGGATGTTAAAAAGGGCTAAAAATTTAGGGTCGGTCCTGGTCCGTCAAAATATATAAAAGCCCTAACCCTAATTATATAACTAAATATATTTTATGGCCAATACAAGGTTTTAAAAAAATATTTAGGGTTGAAACATGGTTGATCCTATTACTATGAAATTCGAATATATAACATTCCTGAAATAACATTTTTCATTGTAACTGAAAAGAGTCACATTTTCTCGTCGAAAACGCAAAATCATATTTTTACGTAAAACTGCAAAATCATGTTTTCCCTCCAAAAATGCAAAATCACATTTTCCCATCAAAACCGCAAAACCAC